CTAGATGAGTTGTATTTGAGACATAAGCTGGCTTATGCTTTTCGCATATTACTTTTACAAATCTTTCCCATCGAGTATGATCTCTTGCACAATAATTATAATCTTCTAGAAAATAATGCCTATATCTTAGATCATTTCCCTTTAGCTCAATGTGTTTCTATAGAATAAAAGCACTGCATCTGTATCACAATCGGGATACAAATAGAGCAGGATATAGTGTCTTATCTACTGCTAGGAAATATAGAAACCGCTCTAATAGTTCTGGTATAATAAAAATACTTGAATGCGCTATAAATAGTATATGTTATAACTTTAATCGAAAAAATAGCAAAGCACCTTCAGGGAAATATGCAATCACTGATCTAGAATAGTTAGATCAGTAGAGTTCCACCATCCTGCTTGACCGGCTAGTATTCTATCAAAATAATTTCTCGGTGATTGTCTGCTTATAGCTATAATGGGGTGATCAGCACCAGAGTCGACTGTTATAAATATATTGGAATTAGGTTGTCACAATGACTGGTGAAACAGAGTGCTAATAGCAAATAAAGGCTGTGTTGATATTAGCTCTACCACTCGCTCTATTTCATTCAGATCCCGAAAATTCTCGACATGGGTATTTGGATTTAGCTGATCTATAGCTTCTTTACTAATATTATCACACCCTTCCAGATTAAGATATTTTAAATTAAGACATGATCTAGCAATTTCTTTGATTGTTATATCAGTAATTTCACAAAAGGTAATGTCAAGATGCTGGAGCTTTGGAGAGAAACAAATAATACCGCAAATTGAATGTTCAGTAATCTCTGTGTAATAGGCAATATTTAAATATTTCTAATTATTGTATGACTTTGCGATTCTCCATAGACCTCCATAATCTACTTCTCGAGCACGAAAGCTCCTAAAGCTACCTAACTGATTATTGCACAGATTGAGATACTTCAGATTCGGATATGAACCTGCTATCAGTTCTAATGCTTTATTACTAAATCCTATGCTATTTATGAAACTCAAATGGGTTATATTTGGGCATGAATGTACAATGCTTATGATTTTTTATTTGAAAGTGAATGGTAGTATGATATTTCGAGATGAGTTACATTTGAGCAATAAACTGGCATTTGTTTCCTACATACTAGCTTTATGAATTTTTTTAATTGTAAGAGATCCTTTGTACGTTCTATCCTTATAAATTTATTAAATTGAGGACGATCCTTTGCACAATAATTATAATCATTTGGAAGAGATTGCCCAGAATATAAGTTTTTTCCCTTTAGCTCAATACGCTTTTATAGGATAGGAACACTGCATCTATACTACAATCGGAAAACATATAGAGTAGGATAGAGAGATTTATCTATCGCTAAAAAATGTAAAATCTGTTCCAATAGTTCTGGTATAATAAAAATTCTTGATTGCGACATAAATAATATACTCTGTATCTTTAATCAAAAAAAATAAATTAACCTCTAGAAGAAGAGTTAGAAAAACACGTCTGACTTCAGCCAATATTTCCAAATATCGGATAGCGATACCTGGATTAATATATTTTATTTTAAAATATAATCCAATTTCCTTGATGGTTGTATAGGTAATTCCATATTTGTAAATATCGAGCTGTTGGATCTTCGAATAAGAATAAATAACATTCCAAATCGATATTTCAGAAAATTCCTTGCAATTAGAAATACTCAGATATTCTAATTTATGGCATGAATTTGCGATTGCATATAGACCTTTATTAGTTATTAATCTATCACCATGGCCCCCCAAGTTGAGATACTTCAGATTGGGGTACGATTCTGCTATTAGATTTAATGTTTTATCACTGAATCCCTTACTACCATATAAATTTAAATGAACTATATTTGGGAACAAGCCCGCAATGTTTTCAAAATTTTTATCTGAAAGATGGTAAAATGGAATTTCTAGATGAATTACATTCAAGCAATAAACTGGCATCTGCTCCCCATGTATTATTTCCATAAAAATCTTTCGTGCATTACTCGTCTTTAGCTCAATGCATTTCCATAAAATAGGAGCACTGCATCTATACCACAATCGGAATACGAATAGAGTGGGGTAGAGGGGTTTATCTTTTACTAGGAAATATAAAACCTGTTCTAATATTTCTGCTATATTTAAAACACTTGTATGTATCATAAATAATTTGTATTATATGCCGTATCTTTAATCGAAAAAATAGCAAAGCACCTTTGGGAAAATTATGCGATTACTGATCTGGATTAAGCCTTTCCACTATCTCATCTAATGCAAGCACCTGTAAACCATCTATAAGAACTTTAAACGTATTCTCATGTGATAACCCTTTGAGAAATAGCCATTTGAGCCGTTCTTCATGATTGCTCACGCTTTTGTTACACTCTATTAGTTTTGAATAAAAGTCTTTTACCATATCATTACCTTGAACCAATTTCCCAACTTTAAAATCCCAGAGAGCTTTTCTTTTAGTCCATTCAAGATTCACCTCTCTTTTCCATATATCATTTATACTGCTAACATGTTTTAGATCTTGGCCTGAAAGATA